TGCATATTATTGACGTAGTCATTGATACAAGTAAGTGTGCGACTCTCGCGAAAATGGAGTGTATACGAACAAGGGCAACGTGGATGTGCACACCAGTGACATATGGCACTGATTACTCGTGATGGTGATGTAATTTGAATTGGACGGCGATGTTGTCATGTATGTACTCGTATTTTACGACTTTGTGAGGACTCTCAGGGTTTGATGATTTTAGTAAATATGGCAGTAATGAATAATTGAGTTTATGAAGGCTTGAGGGCTTACGGTGTCGAGAAACACGACTGTTAGTTTGGCATAAACCATTTTTATTTCCTCATGAACAAGTACATGGCTTTGGAAGATTTAATTATGCCTCGCCTGGTAAGGGGTGTAGTATAATGCCTCCTAATGGCAGTGGATGTATTTGTGATACGTGAAATATGGGTGTTGTGTGGTTATAAGGCAGTTTTGTGAATGGCAACAATGTCAGTGATAGATGGCAGTGACATATGAAGGTAGTTCCAATTAAAATAAAGGCTAACCGCTCATTTGTTCGGTGCCTGTTCAAGGAGTATTGGAATGTCAAATGTAGTAGCTATATTGTAGAAGTGTTTTGGTGTTTTGATATCTGATTAGATAGTAAGCTTGTAAATGACACTGCAACATCCAGCAGAGGTACCGGCTTTATGTGTATTGACGATGCGTCTGTAGCATATTAGGATGTTGGAATAGTTTCATTGACCAATAACTTCAGTGATGATTTGTTTGGGACATCGTGATGTACATATATACATAACAGGTAACTGAAAAGAACAGTTCGTCGTCTAGCGACCGCTGTTTGAATTGGCATGTTAGTTCCTTAGACGGATTAGTGGAGCTCCGACACTAAACATTATAATGCAAACGTTTAAGTTGTATCATTTGCTCCTCTGTGACAAAACATAGGGCAAGAGAGTGAATGAACGACACCCCTGTCTGTGCTCTGTTACCCTTTCTTACCTCTGATGAAGACATGCGTAATCACTGGAGGTTAGGAAGAAGTGCTAATATCAGTCCCCTTGACTTCTACTAAAGTTCGTTTTATACAAATGATCTAGGACGTCGGTCTTATACTTCATTTATGGTGAGCTACAGGAGGATTTCGCACTTTATACAGCCTATTTGTCAGTCGTGGAAATGGTAATTGTAAGTATCTTTATTGTTATCGTCGATTGTTTTCTCTTGAGACTCTGCGGTTGGTAAAGTGATGTAACTGACATTCCAGGTAATGTGCTGAATAGAATGATGGTTCATGTTATGTTATTATCGTGGGACTTTTGTCTTATTTAATTACAGCTGTTCTTGCGAAGACTCCCTCGGAGAAGCGTTTTATTAATTTTAAAGAGACAGCTTGAATGTTGATGCAGCTTGCAAGGGCGTTTTAGGAACCATGGAAGTGGGAAGGGCGGCGGGTGTGGCTACTGGTGGTGGCGCTGAGTAGCAAGAGCGACACTTGTCTGACAAGGGGGAGATAATTGGCGGCGGGGGGCGGGGGGGCGGGGCGGGAGATGCTGGTCTGTTATCCGTGGGAGTGTTCTCTTTTTCGTAGCTGGGGCGGGGGGTTCTCGTTTGTCGTATTTGTCTTCTCTCGATAGTCTCCGTTAGCATCGGGCTGACAGGTGCCGCCGGAGAAGCAAATACTGCATCAGATGATTCGGTACAATCATGATCTTAACGTGTCACGCTCGTCTGTGCCTCTGTCATGAAGTGGCATGATTTGTCCAGGTGACGCAGCGAGGCATCTGGTGTGGCTCTGCTGGAATATTCACAATTTCTTCGATCTATGGACATCCTTGACGGCCATAACCTTCCGCGTGTTCTCACGGGAGCCAACAGCCGGAACTCGAACATGTGGGGGTCGGCGTGATTTAGGGGGGGAGGGGGGGACGCCGGCATGATGTCTGGGGGAGGGGACGTCGGCATCTCGGGGGGTGGTGGGTGGGGGTTGACATGATGTAGGGAGGGGAGAGGGTGTCGGCATGATTGAGAGGGGGAGGTGTAGAAGGAACTTCGCACATGCCTCGAACGAAGTGTAGTTAGCAAGGCCATATGCATTCTTCTCATTCATGCGGCATGTAAAAGAACGCGTGTCTAATGAATCACGCTCATAGAATTCGGATCGCGGCGTCAAGTAGGTTATGTCGTTGTTTGTTTTTTTTTGCTGCCATTTGTGTCTAGCGTTTGGTCCCCTTTGCCCGGTATCCCAAGCGCGCGTGGTGGTCCCTGCTTGCCCTCTGGCGGAGTCGGGCATGGCGCGTGCAAGAAGGGGAGTTGCTCGTCGGATTCCTGGTGTTTTCCGGTGTAAGATGGCGAGGGCGGGGGATGCGCCGTCGCTTGGATGGTTCGGATGCGGGCGGGCGTTGCTGGGTGGGAGGGTGGGTGGGAGGGAGGGAGGAGTGATGAGGGAGAAGGAGAGGGGCTGGGGAAGACTGAAGAGGGAGGGAGGGAAGATGGAAGGAGGGAAGAATAGAAGAGGGGGAGA